AATAATAATAATAATAATAATAATAATAATAATAATAATAATAATGAAAATTAAAGCTCATTATTAGGAATGGAATTCTAAAGTCAACTAACTTTTGCTATTTATTCGCATCTTTTAACAATTTGTGAAATAGCCGATATATGTCCATGGCAAAGGCTTACCGTTTAAGAAAAGCTTCAATCATTTGGCTTAGGATACTTAAAGCCATAAGCTAAAGTAAAACCCTTGAACTAAAGTAGTTACTCACTAGGATCATAGGAGCTTCAAAACCTGCTGTCTTGCTTAAAACAAATTAATGGACAAATAGCTCCCCGGCAGGGCTGGGGCTGGGGCTCAGTGGTAGAGCGCTCCCCTAGCATGTGGGAGGCACTGGGTTCCATCCTCAGCACCACATAAAAATGAAATAAAGATACCGTGTCCACCTACAACTAAAAAATAATTATTTACAAAAGAATAACTCCCAAACATACTCCCTGAGCCTTTTTTCTGTTCTCTCCTAATTTCATTTCCCATGACTTCTCCTGGCCACAGCTTCCTCATCCACCTGATTTCTCTTCTGTCAAAAATGTCATCCAAAAACAAAACAAAGGTCAAGCCATTTAAGAGGCTGAGGCAGGAGGATCGCTGGTTTGAGACCAGCCTCTGCAACACAGGGAGGACCTGGCTCAGAATAAAAAGTAAACAGGGCTGGGGGTTTGGCTCAGAGCACCCCGGGTTCTATCCCTGGTATTAAAAGGAAAAAAGCAAGACAAAGACTCACACCCCCCCAGGCATGAGGAGCCTGGCACCCAGGAAGGAGAGTTATTTTTGGTTCTCGGTAACTAAAAGGACTTAAAAGGTCTCTGGGCATGCATACAATTTTTAATTGCACATGATAAAAGTTTCTGGCTCCTAAGAAAAAGAAAAAGAAAGGCTCTTTTAAATGGCCCCCAGTCAGAGTTCTGCTCGCTCCTCTCTCTAGAGCCATTGTCCCAGGGCTTATTGGGAGTTGAACCAACCACGGCTGAAAACAGAGGCGAGCTCAGCCAGACACAGTGCCACACGCCTGAAACCCACCCATCTGGAAGGCTGAGGCAGGACCCCTGAGCCCCGTCCCCAGCCCTAGTTTGTATTTTATTCAGAGACAGGGTCTCCCTGAGTGGCTTAGGGCCTCACTTTTGCTGAGGCTAGCTTTGAACTCCAGATCCTCCTGCCTCAGCCTCCGCACCCTCGAGATTTTTAAAAAGCCAATCATTAGCATATTGTGTGCTTAAGAACGGTTTCCACTTAATAGAGACATGAGTTCGCTACTGACTTCCTTTCTCACCTAGAGAGGGAAGATCAGAAGGTTTTCACACTCATGCACATTTTATCATGGTTTTATGTTCAGGTGGGTCATTAGTTAATGCAGATTTTGGGAAAAAATTACTTTTTTTTTTTTTTTCCAAAGCAGTGGAACTTGAAGCTCTCGGCTGAAGCTCCAAGGTACAATTTTCTGAGATTCGAACTTCTGTTGATTAATCAGCAGTTTTATGACCTGGCTGTGTCTGGAACTCACCCGGGTGGTTTATCAAGATGTGATGACTTTAGTTCCAAACCCCAGACATCACTGAGTCAGGATCTTCTGGGTTTTGGCCCCCAAAATTCTACGCCACAATCACCCTTAGGGATTGTCTTACTGCCAGGCCTGAACTGCTCTTGGCTTGAGGGTTTGAATTCCCCAGGAATAGCACTTCCTACGGTGATAAAAATACTCTGTATGTTCATTATTCAATGTGGCACACTCTAGTCCACTCAGTGACTGCACCCCTGAAATGTGCCCCAGTGGGACAGAGGAAACCCAGCTCTGCTATAATTCAATTTATTTTTTGATGGTGATTCAAAAGTTCCAACTCCCAATTTTTTTAATTGTAATTTGATGAATTCAACTGAATTAAAAAACAAGAGCTGGGCTGGGGGGTCGTGGCTCCGGGGTAGAGCACTCGCTGAGCACACGTGAGGCCCTGGGTTCAATCCTCAGCACCACGTAAAAAGATATTAGAAAGAAAAGCTATTGTTCTTGGGCAAGTTACTACACCATTCTGCCTGAGCTTTGCATATGCAAATGGAGGTACCTACCACAGGTGAGAGTCATAAGGAAAACCCATAATAAAACATTTAGGGACGTGCCTGGAACATAATGGGGACTGAAAAAATGAGTGACTAAGTTGCTGGTGGTAGAGTGAGTAGCGTGGACAGACAAAGGGAAAAACCTCTCTTCAAGCTTGAAGCAGAGGAGCTTGCCTGTGAGCGCATCTCTCAAAGAATCGCTTGCTGGGATTGGAAGTTGGGGCTTGAAGAAAGGAGAGGCTAGTGAACAGTGATCTTAACAAAATTCATACCAAACCAGCTAACCAAGTTAGCAACCGGGCTTCCTCCTGCTGGCTCCATGAACACTGGATACCATGCAAGACACAAGATGCTAGAGGACACATCAAGCTGCTTAACCACCTGGGCCAGGTGGTGCACACCTGTCATTCCAGCAGTTCAGGAGGCTGAGCAGGAGGATGGCAAGTTCAAAGCCAGCCTCAGCAACTTAGTGAGGACCTAAGTAATTCAGCAAGACCCTGTCTCTAAGTAAAATATAAAAAGGGCTGGGGGTGTGGCTCAGTCATGGCTTTCCTATGCTCATGTATGAATTCAGGACCAGTGCAACTCCCCAGCATGAACAGCCTCCCCAAGAATGGGAAGGTAGACTCCATGTATGTGTGAGAGGTCAGAATGCACTCTCCTGCCGCGGATATCTGACAAGAACAATCAGCAAAATATCACCAGGGTTCTTAGTTGGCGCTCTAAGCATTTGGCACCCAGAACCTGTCCCGTTAAGACTTTAATCTTGAAGACAATTCTTTGGTAGCTGACTATCATAGGTATGTGTGGATACATAAATGGATATGTGCACTGCTTCACTCAATAATTTGGGATTATTCTGCAATAAAGGAAAAAAAAATACCACATAGTTTGTGCCTCCATGGGATTTAAAATCTAACAGGGAAATTACTATTAAAAAAAAAAAACCAGTGCCATGGATCCGGACACAGTGGCGCACACCTGTGATCCCAGCGGCTCAGGAGGCCGAGGCAGGAGGGTTGTGAGTTCGAAGCCAGCCTCAGCAACTTAGTGAGGCCCTAAGCAACTCAGTGAGACCCCGTCTCTAAATAAAAGATAAAATGGAGCTGGGGATGGGGCTCAGTGGTCGAGTGCTCCTGAGTGAGACGTAGAGGCTGTTGGGGGTGAATATCGGAGGGGAATTGATTAAAGACCTAAAACACACAGGGTTTCACAAAGGCTGGGAGGGAAGGAACTGCACAGGGTAAAGCCTACGCAGACCCTCTGCAGTCCCCAGGTGGGGACAGGCTTCAGGATCTTAGAGGAGACTCTGGCAGATGGCGAGTTGAGGGGACAAGACTCAAAGAAGGAACTCATAAGTCAAGAGGACTGAGAAAGCCACTATCATGCTGACCCGGTGGATCCATTGTTACGGATGGTGTTCTGCCTTTGTCAAAGCCGTTATCACCATCAAGGAGCGCACTCAGGCCAGAGCACAGCACTTTACACACAGTGACACTAACCCTGCCCTCGTGACAAGGTGGCGAGCAGAGAGACCATTTGTTTCTTGAAAAAATTATAATGAGGGATCAAAATAAGAGAAGAGATTTTTTTCCTATCTTTTCATAACTAACAATTATATCTTGTTAAAAAAAGTGTAGAAGTGAAGACATATTTTACAGGATTTTTAATATTACTTTACCATCAATATTCCCCGACCCTATCAAACATGGCATTTGCTCTGTTTTTCATTTGTGAAAGAAATTAAACAACAACAATAACAAGAAGCACCAGGAACCTTTCTTAGCATGGAAGAGGAATGAGGTCCAAGAGTGGCTAGGTTTGGGAGTTTCCAATTGTCAAAAATGGTCCTCTCTAGGACATGCAGACTTTTTGTGAATCAAAGTAAGAAAGACCTGCAGACATGAGGTGAAAAAAACGCATAAGTATGCATCCAGGCATAAAACACACCCCGAAGGTAACAAGAACAGGGTAAGAAAATATAATAATACCAAAGGATTTAAGTTTACAGAAAAAAAAAAACTTAAGTCAAGAACAAATATGCTCTAGGCCTGGTGGCTCATGACTATATCTCCAGCCGCTGAGGAGGCTGAGGCAGGAGGATCTCGAGTTCAAAGCCAGCCTCAGCCACTTAGGCACAAAGCAACTCTGTCTCGAAATAAAATATCCAAAAAGGCTGGGGATGGGGCTCCGTGGTTAAGGACCCCTGGGTTCAATCCCCAGTACCAAAACAACAACGACAATGACAACAAAATATGCTAACTGGAATCTTAAAATATCTATGGCTGAGCTTTGAATTTCTCCTATTGGACGTGGTATTAAATATTAATAGTTCTATTTCAGCCATTTCCAAATCCAGGATGGTTTGTTCCCTGGGGGCATTTGGCAATGTCTGGGGACATTTTTGGTTGTCATAAGGTGAGGGGTAAGAGGTGGGGTGTGAGCTCCTCATGTCTAATGAACAGGGGACCCGAATGCCGCTGAGCATCCAGAAGGCACAGGAAAGGCCCCACCCAAAGAATCACCGAACCCCAAAAGTCGATCAATAGTGCTGAGGTTGAGCAGGCGGATTTCAATGGTCATTGAAAAGGCATCATTATTATTAGAGGACTACAAGTGGCTGAAGAACTCTACTTAGAAAGGTTCCTGATTTTTGATGGCCTGATTAACAATACATTTAGATTTGCTTTCACTAAAGGTTTGTAGTATCAAAGGAAAGACTTGGAGATTACAAAAGCCCACTTTTGTTGAAGGGGGTGGGCATTACCGGGGATTGAACCCAGGGCCACCTGTACCACTGAGCCACATCCCCAGCCATATTTTATATTTTATTTAGAGACAGGGTCTCTCTGAGTTGCTAGGGCCTCACTTTTGCTGAGGCTGGCTTTGAACTCGAGACCCTCCTGCCTCAGCCTCCTGAGTTGCTGGGATTATAGGCATGCATCACCGCCTGGCCGAGATTCCCCCCTTTTAAAGTGACTTTTATAAATGAGACTTTGTGAGTGGCAACCAAGATACGATTGTAAAAAAACATTTTACCCTGAAGTGGAGCTTCCCTGGTTGGCTCCGGATTGCTTGGGGGGTGGTTTGGAATAACAGGAGGCACGAGGGATGAATGATCTTCTGTCCACTCTGCAAGAAAGAATAGAAACGATTTCCTGCATTTCCCTCCACAGGCACGGTCAGCTTCCAAACAACTCACCTCCTCATTCATCACGCGCAAACCCACAGAACAGAGGACAGAGCTCAGACGAGAAAGGAGCTGGTGTCTGACCTCTCCATAGGAAGGATTTCAGGATCTCTGTGTCTCATTTAAGATGCCTGGGGGGAAAAATACTGTGGTATGTCCAATAAAGACTGCAATTCTCTCTGGAGAGTCCAAAGTGAGATTAAATAAAAAAAAAAATATCAGTGAGGACAGGGAATCACCCACAAGCAGCAGGCCAAGAGAGAACTTTCTTGATGGGAATGAGAATTTGGCTGGTCTGCTGCAGCCTGGGTTTCTCAGGTCATGAGCTGCATGAAGGTGAATGTCCACAGTTTGCTCAGGTGCTGATTTCTGTCATCTCTAAAACCCAAATGGGACCTGTGGGCTCTGTTGTATTGTTATGTCCCTCGACCTCTGAGCCACATCCCCAGCCAAATTTTGTCTTTTATTTAGAGACAGAGTCTTACTGAGTTGATTAGGGTCTCACTAAATTGCTGAGGCTGATTTTGAACTCGACATCCTCCTGCCTCAGCCTCCTGAGCCACTGGGATGACAGGTGTGCACCACGGCACCCTGACCCTTGAGAAGCACCACAGCTACTTTCTAGCTCAGTTTCTATATTCAATCGATCCCCACCGCCCAAATGGTCATTTCCAACATGCCAAGTTTCACCAGTTCAGGAAAAAAAAATATTTTAAAAATTCTTTTTAAAAAGAAGAGACTTAGAGAACTTTGAACCTGGCAAATACATATACGCATTACACTCTGTCAAAATTACATGGTTCTGGGCAGCAGTTGGCAAACCACGCCCATTTCCCAGACTGGACCCAATGTCTCTTTGTATTCAGTCTTTGAGACAGAGTAATATTCTTTTTTTTCCTCATCATCAGAACTTTTTTTTTTTTTTTTTTTTATTTTGAGACAGGGTATTGCTAATTGCTAACTTGCTGAGGCTGGCCTTGACCTAAAGATCCTCCTGCCTCAGCCTCCCAAGCAGCTGGGATTACAGGTATGCACCAACATGTCTGGGCAAGTTTTTAGATTTTTAAATGGCTGAAAAAAAAAATAAAGAAAAGGAATATTTTATGACACATGAAAATTATACAAAGTTCAAATTCCAGCAACCATAAGTAAAGTTTTACTGACACACAGGTACGCCTATTCAGTTATATACTGCCTAGGGGTGTTTTTATATTACAATACTAGAGGTGAACAGACAAAAGAGAGATCATATGTATCAAAAAAGACTAACATGCCAGTGTGGTGGGGCACGCCTATAATCCCAGAGGCTCAAGAGGCTGAGCCAGGAGGATCTCAAGTTCAAAGCCAGCCTCAGTAACTTAACAAGACCCCGTCTCAAAATAAACTATAAAAAGGCCTGGGGGTGTGACTCAGTGGTGAAGTGACCCTGGGTTCAATTTCTTGTTCAAAAAAATATATATATATTAGGTAAGGTTGCTTTAAAGACCTTCGAAGCAAAAGCAAGAAATAAAAAGTGAGAAAAACAGGACACTGACATGCACATATCCACAAAATTATCTGATTTTTGTTAACATATGCAGCATCCTTAGAAAAATTTTTTGCATCTTGTTCTCAGATAGAGAACAAGATGGCAGAGAGCATTAGAGAATTTAATATCTACACACCTAAAGAGTTCCTGTTTTTTTTTTTACAAGGGAGGTAATTTTAATTTTAAAAAGCCCTCCAAATTACCAGGTCTTTCTGATTCTTATACAGTGCTCCTAAATGAAAGTAAAATCACCTAAAAGACACTGATTGCAAAGCCAAGGCTTCTGGAGCAAGAAAGTTCTCTGTCTTCTAAATTAAAGTGGAGATGCGGGTGCCTTTGAGCTGGGCTCCCCGGTTAGCTCTCCCCTGGTTTCTGGGGAGCAGTGTCTAGCAGCAGCTCCTTAGTGAGGTAGAAGCACTTGATCACCGAGGCCAGCTCTGACCACAAGGGGGCGTCAGTGCCCAGCTTTGCCCCACATTCCCAGCTTGAGTAAAAAAGCCTCCAGGGAAGAGGCTGACCTTCTGGGGGTGGCGGCTGCTGGGATTGCTGCTGCTGCTGCTGCTGCTGTTGCTGCTGCTGCTTCTTCCGTTTGGCTTCTAGAACTGGGTTCTCATACTGAGTCTTCCTGTTGATGTGGCTGGGGAGGAAGGCAAACAGGTTTCAGCTGGAACAAGGGTATCCCACTAGCAGAAAGCCCATCCCTGGATTAGCAGTGAACAAAGAGGGTGGTCTGAGCTTGACTCCAGTGTCCAATGCACCCAGAAAAGGGGGAGATAAAAAAAAGCTTCCCATTGCAGGCTGCTTACTTGCACCAAGCGGGTGACGCTGTATTTTAGGTGAAAAGACTTAGTAGATGCCTTGAGGCAAGTCCTACCCGTATTCACACACTAGTACCCTCTTGTTCCTGAAGGATCTGTTTTCCAGACTCCCCTGGATGACTGGAATCAGGGATCACATGAAACCCTACGTATACTATGGGTTTTGGTCCTTTACATACAAGATTAACAACAGTCACTTACGGGAGATCTTACCAACCTCAGCATGTAATTTTTTTTTCCCCTTAAATTGTGAACTGTCACCTTTTCATTTAAAACACTTCTGGCTCCACATGAGGGTACCCCAATTGACAGCATCATTATTCTTGGGCGTTTGGGGCCATTATTAAGTAAAATAAGGTTAATTTGAAAACAAGCACTCTGATACCATGATAATCAGTTGATAACAGATACAGTTACTGAATAGAGTAACTGGAAGGTAGTATATAGAGCGTGGATACACTGGACAGAGGGATTCTTCTGTCCCAAGGTTGATGGAGTGGGATGGCTGAATCAAATTGCAATTTGAAACTTCCTAAGTGATTTATTTATGCAGTTTTCCATTTAATATTTTCAGAACATAGCAGACTTTCGGTAACTGAAAACACAGGAAGCTAAACTACGAGTAATGGGAGAGACTACAGGATTTTATCAATGAGGAAAGTCAACTTTTCATTAGTGAATAATTCACCTAATATAATATAGTTAGGACCCAGTATCCACACATGCCAGCTCAAGTGTGTTTGATTTCAAATCCCAGAATTCTAACCACTGACTGGAACTAAATACCCGAGTTATCACGTGACAAGGAAATTGTTTAAATCCCAACGAAGGAGTAGATTATTAAACAGTTGAAAGATAAAATTGGATGTGTGACGTTGTCTGGAACAGGTAATACCAGAGCTGCCGAGTGACAGTGGGGTTCACGTGACCATCCACCTAAACAGCAAAACTAAGAAAAGAATTCACGAACATCTACTAACTAACAATCGTCAGCTATTTTGATCAGTTCCCAAGGAGGCAGGATTCCAAGTATAGCCCTTGGGCAGAGAGACTGCACATAAGAGCTAACTTGAGCAGATGTGATGTTTTCAAAGTGACAAAGACCAGGACAATTTCGATGGCTGTTGTAAGGAATAAGACCATGGCAAACACACACACACACACACACACACACACACACACACACACACACACGGTTTTCTGCCATGGCCTCGTTTTAGAGGCTGTGTGGGAATGTACATCAGTAAGCACACACAGGCCTTTTCAGATATCCTATGACCTCGTTCCTTGCCCCTCAAAAAATCAAGTCACTTCACCCACCAAAATGACTCTCCTCTGTTCCTTTTCTTACTCAAGGCACAAGCTAACTGAAAGGCAAAGCAAAATGAGCTTCCAACAACACAGAGCTCACACTGTATCTGTAAGGAAGACGACCTCTGGGGTTTACAAAGGGGGAAATTCTAGTTTTAGGAGGGTCCGAGAAATGACCTCTCTTCTGCCCCAAAATTGCCAGCGCGGTTTTTAAATTATATCTCCTTTTTTTTTTTTTTTTTAATTTTCTTTGGGATCATCCTATGGGTGGATGGTTCTGATGAATACCAAGTGTGTACCCAATGCTGGGATAAGGCACAGGGTGACGGGGTCACCATAAGGCTTTGAAACTTCCAGAAGAAATGTCCTCAGGAAGGAAACAGCCCCAAAGCACCCAGATCACATAGATCCTGAAGCCTAGTCTCTACTTTCTTCTTAATCTTGGCAACATTTCATAAGTTATTAAAAATTCACCCAAATCTTTGAGTATATTTTCAGTGATTGTTTTTTTTTTTTTTTTTTTGTGCCTATATAAGGCAAAAAGTAGGCCACGTGGGTCCTCCTCCCAAAGATCCACAACCTTGCCCCAGCTTTTTCAATCCATGTCCTCAGCTGATACTTATTAAATACCTGTCATTTGCCAGGACTCTGTTCAGCCTTTGTGAAATGGTTGAAGATGCGTGGATCCTGCCCTCCTGAATTTAATAATGGGATTTACTATCTTTGGATGCACGGAATTATCTTCTCATTCATTAAAACAGACATACGCATTCTCAGTATGAAATTAATATCATAATTAGCGGGCAGCTCCGCTTAGCAGAAGCCTACACAAGAAGAGCCACTTACTCTACATAGTAGACACCATAGACAGGATCTTCGATCTTTTCCCAACCAGCAGGCAGTTCTGAAATATAAAAGAATATTTAGAACAAGAAGAACAGATTCTTGAAGAGCCATCTTGAGGACCATCGACAACTGAGTTAGGCCAAAAAGAAAGAAAGAAAGATAAAAAGAAAAAGAAAAGGTCTCATAAGAAGGCCTTAAACCCCTGCGGGGCATGATGGTGCACACCTGTCATCCCAGCAGCTCAGGAGGCTGAGGCAGGAGGATCCCGAGTTCAAAGCCAGCCTCAGAAAAAGCAAAGTGCTAAGCAACTCAGTGAGACCCTGTCTCTAAATAAAATATAAAACAGGGCTGGGGATGGGGCTCAGTGGTCGAGTGCCCTTGAGTTCAATCCCTGGTACCCACCCCCCCCCCCAAAAAAAGAAGTCTTTGAACCCAATTAAAACTGTATATCCTAACCAAAAAGAAGTACATACTCCTTTTATTTCTTGAGTGCACTTTTCTCATGAAGAACAACTCTTTATCTACTGGTATTTTACGCAAGAAAATAAAACTTGAGAAAATGCTGTCCCAGCTGCCTTTTATTTTAAACCAACTATTAAATTCGTTTTTAATGGAAATAGTTAAAACTTGCCTTGCATGCTACGCGAAATATTTACTGTTTTCTTGTTTGGTTTCCAGGCTACCTTAGCACACGGGCAAAAACAGATGAAAATTAATGCTTTCTTTTCATTTTTTCAGTTCAACAGAATTGTTTCCCTTTCTCTGGAAGAAAATTAAATCTGCATCTTATTTTTCTCCATGTTCCTAATTAAAAAGCTACTGAGTAAATAAAAGTGCCAGTATGAAGGAGGGTGTTTCAACTACACACACAGCTCACTCTGTCTCTGTGTTTGGGCCAGTCCATCTTCCCCAGCACTTCACCTATAAAAAAGTAACACACCCGGGCACCGCGGCGCACACCTGTGATGGCAGCGACTCGGGAGGCTGAGGCAGGAGGATCGCGAGTTCAAAGCCAGCCTCAGCCACTTAGTGAAGCCCTAAGGAATTTAGGAAGGCCCTGTCTCTGAATAGAAAAGTATCCAAAAAGCCTGGAAATGCGCTCCTTGGTAATTCAATTCCTGGTACATCCTCCAAAAAATAATAATGACAATAATAATAATTAAATAAGTAAATAAAACTGACTACCTATGGGGGAAGATATCATTCCCTTGAATATGGTAGGAAAATGGCTTTGGGGGACATACGTGATTTTCAAAAACTCAACCATGACCTACTGGTGTGACTTGGAAAGGTTTCAGATCTTAGTTTGGAATTTCATTAATCAGGAAACAGCGCCCTCTGTGACAAGAATCTATTGTGGGAAAACCCCTCGCACCCGATTATGGTACTTGGTGGAAAAAACAATGAGGTGGCATTTTATGTCGTGACACCACCTTTTTAGAGAGCGCTGCCATCATTCAACTCCTTTTCAAGCCACCGTCATACACGCTGCCAAAGCAAGCTTGTATTAAGCCAGACTCCCAAGTGGATCATGGTTCCTGGAAGGAACTAGAAGGAACTGTTTGAATGGTGCACGGTGCACTCTTGAAATGTCATGCATTTTGGAATCGATTTTCTAAAAATCCAGGGAATCATATGGTCCCTATTTTCCAATGATGACTAGGACCTCCGTGAGGACCCACACGTGCCACCCACAGTTTCAGAATGAGAGGAAGGTGTGAGTGCACCCCCAAGCACACTCAAGACCGCTCAACGTTTACATCTGGCTCACATTTGCCTGCACATGGAGAAACGAGAACTTCATGGTTTTTGATCCATGTGTTATTTGTTTGCAAACAAGGAGACAGGTATCCCTCCCCTTCTTTTTCTAATTAAAAACAAAACAAGATTCAAGAGGCTTTTTAGAAGGTGGTGAATAGCCAGGTGCAGTGGCCCACACCTGTCATCCCAGTGATTCTGAGGCTCAGGCAGGAGGATCAAAAGTTCAAAGCCAGCCTCAGCAACAGCAAGGAGCGAAGCAACTCAGTGAGACCCTTTCTCTAAATCCAATACAAAGCAGGGTTGGGGATATGACCCAATGGTTGAGTAACCTTGAGTTCAACCCCCCAATGCCCCCTAACAAAGTATTTGAATTCAGGAGACACAAGCTACTAAAATTCAAGACAGGTCCAATTTGCAGATGTTGATACAACTTGGCATTTTTATAAACCAAGTCTTAGGGGTTGATGCAAATCAAACACCTGGGAAACAGTTTCCCTTTACTAAGCTGGAAATGACCATTTAAATGAAAACGAACCAGGAAAATATTTCCAAAGAGTTAGAAAATTGAAGATTAAAACAATGCAAATTGGTGCAAAGTCAGACATTTGTATGGGGTAGAAGATGGGTCAGAGAGCGGGGAGCCTGGTGATCATTAACAGAACCAGACTGCTTTTCAAAATCTGAAACCTGAAATATTTGACCTGCTTAGATACAATGGGAAAGATATTATGCATTGACTACACTCAACTATTAAGCAGATAAACATTTATTGAGTGCCGACTGTTTACTCGAGGATATGTCAGACAACAGCGACATGAAGATAAACACAAGCTCACTGCCCACCCAAGCAGACAGGTCATATGATTTGATGGAGAATTGAAAGGGGAACAAGAAAAGCCACTCCTGGATCTTGATCTGTTGCCCCATCAATAACCTATTAATATTCCAGAGTTCAGGAGTGGGGTCAGTTAACGGGCAATTCTGGATATTGGCTGATTTTAAAACTTCTGGAACAGATGGATCAACTCCAGAAATTTTCCAGTTCTTCAAGTTAAAACTCCTTTTGAATTGAAAAGATAGATTTCTCACTTCCAAATGTGGTGATTAACTTAATAATAGGAATTAGTCTCCCAATGCTTAAAATAGAAGTGGGTCATCAATTAAAAAAAAAAGAAAGAAAGAAAGAAAATGTTTGTCCTAGAATTGCCATTTGGTTCTAAAAAAACTAAAAATGGCAGGAAATATTTAAGCCCAGAATATTATACATTCTATTATAGCTTTTTTTTTTTAATAAGCACTGAAGATTTCTGAGCCCCTACCCTACCATATCTAACCACTGACAAGACCATAAAACTCATTATGGAGACTAAAGAACACTGAGGTCTTTCTGGCACTTCCAGATCTGGCATTTAACCTTAAATTCCACTTAGCTCTTTTGCTCTGTGGCCTTGGGCTGGTTACTTAACATCTCTGAACCATAACCTTTCTTCTGGGTTCATATCAAAGGTCAACCATGGATTAAAGGAGGATGCTTGGAAAACACTTAGCACAGGAGGGACCTCAGCAAATATCCAACAAACAGCATCTACCACCGGAAAGCACACAGGACCAGGATGGATTTCTGTAGCCCACCTGCTTGCTATTCCTGCCTCTGAAAATTTCACGCAATATCATTTTTCATTTCAGGAGTAAATATTGAGTAGTGTAATGTTCTATGCTCCTTTCAAGAGATCTGTCAGGGTACACCTGGAAAATCGTGTTCCAGATCAAAGATGAATTTCAAAACGGTGCCTTAGTTTTGTCGGGGAGGGGAACTCGGTTTTCTTGTCTGTACCTTTCCTAGTTGCTTTCAACGCAAGAAAACCCTCTAATTACAAAAGAAGGCTCTGTTTTTCATTCTGGGAAGACTTCTGCAGAAGATGTAGATAAGTTAAGCAAACAAAAGGTGCATAATGGAGCTACTGACCCAACTCCAACAACAGAGCTCAGAAATGACAACTTCATAACCAAATGATCTGTGTCCAGCACCTCAGCCATTCGCCTGTACCACTCGGGGCAGATTAGAGAGATTGAGGTTTCCTTGGCACATCTGGAATAATCACACCACTCACTGAAATCCTGACAGATGCTTCTGTTTGAAATTAGGACCCTGTCATTGAGAAAATGGGCCAAGAGCTTGTCAACAGACTCCAGGGCACATGCAACAGAAAAGGCCAAGGGTGTGTCTACACACGTGCACAGACCAGGAGTTACACAGTACAGAAGCAGGCAAAATTCAAGGGCCATGCTGCGACCCTGCCTAAAAGAACACGTCTAGACCAGGCGCGGTGAGGCACGCCCGTCATCCCAGGGGCTCAGGAGGCTGAGGCAGGAGGATCATGAGTTCAAAGCCAGCCTCAGCAACTAGGGAGGCCCTCAGCAACTCAGTAAAATACAAAATAGGGCTGGGGATGGGGCTCAGTGGTTGAGTGCCCCTGGGTTCAATTCCTGGTACAATTAAAAAAAAAAAAAAAAAAAAAAAACTAACTAAAAAACCAAACAAGACTAAAACACATCCAGGCTACTTCTGCAGGACAGAACACACTCCTTCCTTGACTTTTGTTAAAAGGAAAAAATGCTGTAAGAAGTATTGATAAATCCCCTGAGAATTAGATAATAATAAAACTAGCAATTGCACCAGGAGTTGATCACAGTGACATATATAGAAATGCATTTTCAGTAAATCTCCAAGAGCTCTTCTTTTAGCCCCCATTTATACATTTTGATAAAAAGGAAGCAAACAGAAGTGGGGTCAGGTACCGGGCAATTCTGGATATCGGCGGAGGTCACAGAGGCAGTAAGCAGGGGAACCAGGCGGTCTGGTCGGACCACAGAGACGCCTCCATCCCTGCACCACCCACCTCCCAGAATTCCGGCTGTGACAAGGAGAAGGGAATCATGCACCATTAAAACTCATCTTTTAGAGGTCTTTAAGACCCTTACAGTGGCCCAGGGAGAAACACGGAAAGCTCCTTCTGGAAACTTCACCATCTGAACTTCCCTAGAAGCAACTAAGGTTTGCTCCGCACACAGCTGTGTGATCCCCAGTGGCCACTCACAGAGAGCACTGAGGTAGCAAGAAGGAGAGAAATTGGTTCCACAGATGATCAACACAATTGTTTTGTATGTGGAGAACCCAGCCCTGTCTTTTTCAATTATCTAATCACCAAATTGAAATTTAACGTTGAACCTTAAGCCATTCCTACCACGATGATCAGAGGACAATGCATTGAACATCCTTAAAAACAAAACCCTTCACCAGTCGCAGTGGTGAAAGCCTGTCATCCCTTGGTTCTAGAGGCTGAGGCAGGAGGATGTGAGTTCAAAGCCAGCCTCAGCAACTTAGCGAGGCCCTCAGCAACTCAGTGAGACCCTGTCTCTAAATAAAATACAAAATAGGGCTGGGGATGGGGCTCAGTGGGTGAGGGCCCCTGAGTTTAATCCCTAGTATTTAAAAAAAAATAGAACATGCAGTTTATAAAATCATGCAGGGTAATCAATCATGCGACATCAGCTGCAGGCAGGCAGGCAAGCAGAGGGTTTACCTAGTTCACTGTCCAGCTCCTCGGTGTGTACCCCTTCTTCTCCAAAGGAATAGCAGGAATGAGACAGAAAAGAGAGAAAGAAAAATTCAGACACCAACACCAAGACAGAAGCTCCCCACAGAAAATTAAAAAACAAAACAAAACAAAACAGCAGCAACCCCACCACTTGATCGTGACCTTACCTGCACAGCGGCTCATTTCATTGACTTGGCCAGAAAGTGGGACCTCAACGCGAATCACAGAACAGTAAGAGCTGATATTGGCAAAATAATTATACGGCTCATTTCCTCGAATGTCAAAATAGGGCTTGATTGGTTGTAAAAGATGAAATACACCTTTGCGGTCTCAACGTTCCCAAGTGGGAAGTCACTTGTTACAGACCTTATTTGCCGCCAACGAAGCTGTGAGACTTTTCAATATGAGTCCTTTTAATCCTCCAATAATCCACTCATCAGTGAGGCAATTAAACGCACAATTAAAGAATTCCTTCACTTATAAGTCATACGGCTGCTTGAAAAGGGACGGGGAGGTGGCACTTGGAGAGCAAGGGGGACAATGAGTTCAGAGTCTTTCAAAGAGGAGAGAAAGATGAATTAAGTCCTGACACCCAGGAAGGGAGGCTTGATGCATGCCCTGAAGGAGCGTGGGGAGGCAGAGCCTACTGGGTGGGGTGTTTCTTTCTAGAAAAGTTTTAAAAGTCAAATGATTCAGAAATGGTACAGGTGAAATGTTCTCGCTGACTTCAGCAAGC